GAGGAGAGGCCAGGGAGTGGCCATGCATCACGGGGGCGGGGCTGGAAGTGGGAGGGGCGGGGCCTGCAGGAGGAGAGGCCAGGAAGTGGCCATGCACCACGGCGCCGGGGTCTGGAGGAGGGCAAGGCCTGGCTGAGGAGGGGTGCAAAGTGGACTGACCAAGGAGTGGGGTTACACAAGGTGGGGCAGGACCAGTAGGAGGGGCGGGGCTGGAAGGAGGGCTGGACAGACAAAGAAAGGGGACAGCCACAGAGTGAGTGTTCCTCAGATGTGCAGGGATGTCCCCTTTCAGAAGTTCGTCAAGAAGACAAAGATTCTCACCACTGGATCAGCTGTCAGCACCATGATGGATGGAGAAGAGATTGAGGTTGTTAACAATTTCAGTTTGCTTGGCTCCACAATCAACACTCTGCACCAGTAGTCAGGAAATCAAAAGACAAGTTGCACTGGGAAAGTCTGCTGTCAGGGACCTCTCCAGAGTGCCGAAGACCAACAATGTCAGTCTAGAGACTAAGGTGCGCCTGATCCAGGCCACGGTCTTCCTAATTACTTGTGCATCAGAGAGCTGGACAGTGATTACAGATGACAGAAGAATTGATGCCTTTGAGCTGTGCTGGAGAAGATTATTGTACATACCATGGACCACCCAGAGAACAAGCAGGTCTGCCCTGGATAGGGTGGAACAAAGTTGCTTCTTGGAGGCAAGGATTTTGAAGCTCCATCTCACATACATGGAAATGTGGCCAGGAGGAACTAGTCCTTGAAGGACATCATGCTTGGAAGGGTGGAGGGACAGAGCAGGAGAGGAAGATTCTGGATGAGATGAGCTGACACTGGGACTGAGGTAATGAGGGCAGGAATGTCAGAGGCAGGAAGGTTGGCTTAGGATAGAGCAGGGTTCAGAGCTATTGTGCATAGGGTCATAAGGAGTGATGGCATATAACAAGAACATCTTCCAGATTCCTTTTGCAGAGTGTTTTACAAGTTCATGTCCCCCCAATTCTGTGTGACACTATTCTATGAACATACCAGTTCCCCATGCATTCGTGTGTCAATAGGCTTTCATCCCTTTGCTGTTGTGAATAATGCTGTGATAAACTTGGTTCTGACACTGCGTTAGAACAGACGAGGGGCAAACTGTCTGGAAGGAATGATGACGAGGCATTAGACGTCTGACAAGTCTGGAACAAGGGGTGTCTTGGAAGGTGGGATGTGGAGGGTGGAGTGAAGGAGGGAGGAAAATGTGCAACAAGGAATGACGAAACCCCATCCTTTCTGTACACTTCCATTAAAACCACCATAAGAAGGTATACTGCGCTTTTTTTTGGCAAGTGGTGTTTTCATT